TCTTGCTGGGGCATCCTTCTTTCTGGAGTTCTGGGTGCCTGCAGGCAGTGTACTCCTTCAGTGTCTCTTGGTACTAATCCTTCGAGCAGCTTGTAGCTTTATATTACTTCGTTTCCTCGTCTTCGTACGAAAGTATCGGAGTCAGCAACCCCATTAGTTTCTCGAAGCCCGACTACACATCTGGTGATGCGAGGAAACAGGAGGAGGCATACACGCGGCCTAGCACTGGTGGCATCCAGGAGCAGGACTTGGAATTCAGCCCTCTGGTAACCCAGCCCGGCAGCCCACAATGGGAAGACCTCACCAGCACTGCGCCTGGCCCTCGCATGAATGCAACCTTTGTGACGCTTGCGCGCAATTCGGATGTCTGGGACATTGCGCGCTCGATCCGCCAGGTGGAGGATCGCTTCAATCGCCGCTACAACTATGACTGGGTGTTTCTCAACGACAAGCCTTTTGACTCGACCTTCAAGAAGGTGACCAGCTCGTTGGTATCAGGCAAGACGTACTACGGCGAAATTCCCGAGGAGCACTGGTCCTTCCCTTCCCACATTGACGAAGAAAAGGCCAAGAAGGTGCGTGAGGATATGAAGGAGCGCAAGATCATCTACGGCGACTCCATTAGCTACCGTCACATGTGCCGCTTCGAGTCTGGATTCTTCTTCCGTCAGCCCCTGATGATGAATTACGACTACTACTGGCGTGTTGAGCCAAGTGTCGAGCTGTTCTGTGACATCCACTACGACCCCTTCCGCTTGATGCATGAGCAAGGCAAGAAGTACAGCTTCGTCCTCAGTCTGTACGAATACGTCGAGACCATCCCAACTCTCTGGGAGAGCGTCAAGAAGTTCATGAAGAACCACCCCGAGCACATTGTCAAGGACAACTCCCTTGGTTTCCTCAGCGACGATGGCGGCGAGTCCTACAACCACTGCCATTTTGTAAGTGCACATCATGTCCATCAACAACCACCTCTGTCAAATCAGAAGCACTAATAAAAAGCAGTGGTCCAACTTTGAGATTGGCAGCTTGAACTGGCTGCGCTCGCAGGCGTACATTGATTACTTTGATGCTCTGGACAAGGACGGTGGATTTTTCTACGAACGCTGGGGCGATGCTCCAGTGCACTCCATTGCCGCCGGTCTTATGCTCAAGAAGGAGGAAATCCACTTCTTCAACGATATTGCCTACTACCACGTGCCATTCACGCACTGTCCGACTGGAGAGAGTGTTCGTACGCAGCTTCGCTGCCACTGTAACCCCAAGGACAACTTTGACTGGAAGGGATACTCTTGTATGTCACATTGCCTTCAAATATGTTTTCAACGAATTGCTAACTCTGTCAATAGGCACTTCGAGATACTTTGAAATCAATGGCTTGGATAAGCCAGAGGGGTGGGAGAACCAATCTGATTAAACATGCCTCTGATCGAATCGTGCAATGACAACCGTGTCATATTCTTTCGTTGCAACTCAGTTTTGCTGTATTTATTTCCAAACTTTGCTTACGAGCATTTTACCGTTCTGCATTTTCGGATGACAAATGGGTGGGAAAGAGTCCAAAATCGGCGTCAATGGGGGCGGACCACACAAGCGCTGGTCTGGGGACATTTGGGCAGTCCTGGAAGGACCTGATACATGAATGTGAAAACATAGTCCGTGTATTTTCATCACTACAACCAACACTGACGAAGCATTCGGTCTTCAAATGTTCCAGTGCAAATGCAAACCTATGAAACTCGTTGCCTTTCCATTCGCTGGCATAGGGTATCACCGGCCTCTCGTTATGTCTTCCTTATCAAGAGACTTGCACTAGAATGACTGCTGTTATATTCGGTCTTCTCCTTCTATCGTACATTGCCGCTACTGTCTTTAACCAACCGAAGCCTTCTTTGGCTTCTTGGTGCCGTACTTGCTCCGGGAGTTTGTTCGGTTCGCAACACCACCCAAATCCAGAGCACCTCTGACAAGCTTGTACCGCACACCAGGACAATCCTGCGCACGTCCTCCTCTAACGAGCACCACACTGTGCTGCTGAATATTGTGTCCCATACCGGGAATATAGGCCGTAATCGTCTTCCCGGTGGTGAGACGGACACGTGCCGTCTTGCGCTCACCCGAGTTGGGCTTCTTGGGTCGCGTGATACCAACCTTGATACAGACGCCCTTGCGCTGCGGATCGTGGTTGGAGGCCAAGGCAGGGGAAATGGCGTGGCGAGGGCGACGAGGTTTGCGGCAACCCTAGATGTGCGGCTGTTAGATACGTGCAATCCGCATTGTAGGAGCCGCGCAGACCGAGCCGGTACATACCCTCAGGACCTGGTTCAGAGTCGCATTCTGGACTGGTGTCGACGAGAAGGAGCGCGAGAGCGCGGCGGCGGCGATGGGGGAGGGTTGAGCAAACGAGGGCCTGAAGGTGACTTGAACAGCCGGCAGTGGTGCCGCCAGGCGTACTGACGGCACCAACAGCTGCCGCAGCATTTGCATCGCCATGTCGGATGCGAGATCTGGTCTGAGAGCGGCGTGTGGTTGGAGCTGTGCTTTGACACCTTCCCTCGCGACACGACAGACCAGCCGACATCGCGACTTCCATCATCGGCGCCCCAAACTCGAATTCTGACTTGCAGCTTGGTCCGTGCGCGCGACCAGCACTGACTCGCTTACCTAAGGCCGTTCACATGTTTCCCCGCATGACCAGAGTTCCCCCCGAAAGCACCCCCAGCGCAAGTCGCGAACCCCGAATTGCCCAGTTGCGGATCCGTCATGTCGATCTGTACTTAGTCGGCACCCCTGCAGTTGCAGGTGGTTATCCTCGGCTCGGTGTCTTGGCCGCCTCTTTGCGCAGGTGATGCCATTGATCTTTTGGGACGGTCACCGTATTTCTTCCTCCCTTATGCCGTTTATAATCTTTTTCTTGCATCTGTGAACCTCCGTTGTTCTCCTCTACTCTGACTGCTCTTGAATTCCTGAACCCCTACGCTCACCTCTGCACGCTGCGCGATTCGTACCGTCATGTCACTTTCAGCCAGATTATTGCGCCCGGCTGTCCGGGCGAGTTCAAGAAGCCTCGGGGGTCTATCTTCTGTCCCAAGAACAGCGCGGCCTTTTCCAGGAATAACAAAAATGCAAAGGTAGGGAAAGACTTGTCATCACTTCAAAAGGACCAACCTGCTCATCAAATGACTCTAGCGCGAGATGTCTCTCTTCCACGCCACATCTTCGTACCGACATCAGCGAAATCCCACCAACGCCCATCACGCACCTCTCCGAGATCGAAAATGCGATGCAAGAGTCCGTCTCCAAGTTCGCCACCGATGTGATCGCGCCCAAAGTTCGCGAGATGGACGAGGCGGAGCAGATGGACCCAGCCATTGTCGAGCAGCTTTTTGAGCAGGGTCTCATGGGCATCGAGATCCCCGAAGAGTACGGTGGCGCGGGCATGAATTTCACGGCGGGCATCCTCGCCATTGAGGAGCTCGCGCGTGTTGACCCTTCTGTCAGCGTGCTTGTCGACGTCCATAACACGCTCGTAAACACGGCCATCCTGAAGTGGGGCTCTCGCGATTTGCAGAAGCGCTACTTGCCTAAGCTGGCGACCAACACGGTGGGCAGCTTCTGCCTCAGCGAGCCGGTCAGTGGCAGTGATGCCTTTGCGCTCGCAACCAAAGCGACCAAGACGGATGACGGGTACCGTATCTCCGGTAGCAAAATGTGGATCACCAATTCCATGGAGGCCGACTTCTTCATCGTCTTTGCAAACCTCGACCCCAGCAAAGGGTACAAGGGCATCTCAGCATTTATTGTCGAAAAGGACCAAAAGGGTTTCTCGATTGCCAAGAAGGAGAAGAAGCTTGGAATCAAGGCCAGCAGTACCTGTGTTATCAATTTTGACGACGTCGAGGTCCCCAAGGCGAACCTGCTGGGCGAGGAGGGCCAAGGATACAAGTACGCCATCGGCTTGCTCAACGAGGGCCGCATCGGAATCGCTGCGCAAATGACGGGACTTGCCCTGGGCTCCTGGGAAAATGCCGTCAAGTACGTGTGGAACGATCGCAAGCAGTTTGGTCAGCTGGTCGGCGAGTTCCAAGGCATGCAACACCAAATCGCACAGTCGTATGTCGAGATTCAAGCTGCACGTTCGCTGGTGTATAACGCCTCGCGCAAGAAGGAGGCCGGAGAGGACTTCGTCAAGGACGCCGCCATGGCCAAGCTGTTTGCTTCTCAGGTGGCAGGCAGAGTAAGTGGTCTCGCAATCGAGTGGATGGGTGGCATGGGATTTGTTCGCGAGGGCACTGCCGAGAAGTTCTGGAGGGATAGCAAGATTGGCGCCATCTACGAAGGAACGAGCAATATCCAGTGAGTCTCTTCTTGCTTGTTTCCTTTTCTTTTCGTTGTTTTGCTGATTGGAACTAACTCGCTATAGGCTCAACACCATTGCCAAGCTGTTGCAGAAAGAGTACACTTACTAGACAGTGTGATGGATAACCGCATGAATGTAAAAGAACTCTGTACTACTCAAGGCTGCTTATCTGGTTTTTGGGATTACTAGAGTAAAGTCAAATGGTGTCCTTGGATGAAAATCTCCTGGTTCTTACAAATTTTAGAGCTGTTTCATGACACTCTCATACCAATTCAAGAGACGTAGCTAAATCAAGAGCATAAAAGAATACTTTTCAAAACATGTGAAGACGAATTTCAAGCCACATGAATACTGCATATGAGTGAGTAGATGGATAGATACATAAGGATACATGATTGAAGCTTGTCTTTCTCTCAATCATGCTTCATTCAATTATTAGAGCAGTAAGTAAGTAGTACACTTAGCTTGTAAAGGGGCCAAGCACTTTGTGCATTTGAGATGGAAAGTGAGGAAAACAAGTAAAATTAATAAATAGAAAGAATAGCAGAAAAACATGTCTGTTATTGACTTTTTTGTACGTGACCAAGTTTTACAAACAAGTGAACCACAAGAGTGTGAACGAAGCAAGAGCAAAAAGTGATGCGGTGAATGTGGATCGAACACATGACCTTCAGATATAGCACTAAAGTTAACTTCAGTCTGACGCTCTCCCAACTGAGCTATCCCCGCTTGATTAGTAACCATCATTTTTGATAGCATATATAGTGATATGCAAGTCCACAGTGGAGAAAGTACCACGATTCCATCCAAATCCTCAATTTACAAGCTATAATCAATACTATAAGCCAACCTTCCCAGTGAGGTTTTCGAAAGTTGGATTAGTGTTACGTACTTGATAAAATTATACGACATATGTAGAGTCAATAACAAGCTCAAGTGCTGCGCACAAGTGGCTGCCAAAGTGGTGGGACACATCCAACTGCTGCCCCTCCCTCAGAACCCACCCAGCCTACCTGCCCAGCTACCCCTGCTTGCCTGCTACCTAGGCGCACGGCGCACTTTGACCAGAATTCTGGACTGGCCTCCACTTTGAACCTCATCTGTCATCCAGCCCGCTGGCATTGACGCGACGTCCAACCTGGCTCTACAACGCTTCACTTTCAAGGGTGCTCTGGCTGTATTACACCCAGCTAGCCCACTTCTTTGAAAGATCAATACCTTGGTTGAGCAACTGCTCGACTAGGCGTACGCCTTTGTCTGCTTCAGTTTTGCGCTGCTCGGGCTGCTCGAAGCATTGTGAAGGCACGCGTGCCTGCAGCCTCAGCTCCTGAGCTCTACCGTTGTGTCGCGTCGCGACCCTCGAGCTCGTCCTGAAACCGCCGAGTCTTTGGCCTGCCGCTGACCTACAGCAGCTACAGCAACACACCGTTACTTCCTAATACCTCGAATCCTGTCGCACTGCAACTTGCAAGATGTCCTTCTTTGGCTTCGACACGTCGGGCCACAACAGGGCCGCGCCCGGTTTCTCTCAGGGCAATGACCCCTTTGCCGGTCTTGCCCAACGAGCGACTGGCGGCGAGGCTGTCGACTTTGACGATACCTACGATGGTTTGGGCGACCAGCTTGAAGAAGCTGGCGACGAACTCAATGACGACACCTTTGGTGGCGATGCCGGCCCGAGCGGAGGTTCTGTCGGCAAGGACTTTGATTTCTTTGGTCGCACTGCTCAAGTCTCGAGTGCTATCGACGAAGAACAACTGCTCTACAGCCGCAACAACCCTGCTTCCAAGGCCGTACCCGTTGCTCATGCGCAGGTTCAACAGCTGCATCCCTCGTACGGATACGCGCAGCAAGCCTACCAACCTGTGCGTACAGGATATGAAAAATATGAGGCACAGAACTCTGGCACGGATCTTCAGGTTGATCCCACGCTCTGGGGCGTAGCACCCAAACAGGCAACTCCTGCGCCAGCCCAGCCTGCTGCGGCGCCTGTCCCAGCTGTGGGTCGCAAGGTCATGAGCTTGGAAGAAGTTGAAGCCGCAATGAAGGCCGAGGCAATGGCCAGAAAGCAGGCGCAAGCCAGCGCTGCTGGTGTCCAGGCTTCTCCCATGCTGCAACAGCCTCAGATGCAGCAGCCCACTGCGGCCGGCTTCGAGATTAACGAGTTCTATGCGCAGCCCAACCGCATCGATCAGCACCAAATCCAGACTCCCGATCAGCTGCAACACGTTCAAGGCGTTCAGTATCCTGGTGGCCAAGGCCCTCATGTTCAAATTCTCCAGCGGCCCCAGTCCAAGTCCCAGCAGCAGATTCAGCCCAATCTACCAAACTCTCCAAGCCCTATGATTCAACAGCGCCAGCAGGCTTCTTCTCGCCAGGGTCAACCCACACAGATCCTGCAAAACCCTAATCGCATGTCTGGCGATCTAGCTCGCATGGGTGCACAGGGATATCCGGTCCACCCAGCGCACCAGTCTCAAGGATCAGTCGGACGACAGCCCATCATCACTCACCCGGCGCAGCTGGCACAGCTGTCCGAGTCTGACAAAGCTGCATACCTCGAGCAAGAGGCCCGCCGAGCGAAGCGAAACCACAAGATCTTCCTTCTGTCTCGCGACAATGGCATCATGACACCTCACGACAAGAACTTTATTACTCGCATTCAGCTTCAGCAGCTTGTTTCGGCCACTGGAAATCCAGCGGATCATGGAACTGATGAAGCGCTGGCCGAGGACTTTTACTACCAGGTGCACAACCAGATTCGTGGCGGCCAACGTCAGAACCCTAGCCAGCCCTTGAGCAACTTTGCCCAGACCTACCTGTTTCAAACCGGCAACCGCCAGGGTGGTCACCGTCGTCACCGTGCCGGTCCCGAGAACCACATGCAGCGCATGGAGCAGCAGGTCCAGCGAGCGGTGGAGGCAGCCAAGAACAAGCCCAAGAACTCGCAGCTCGTTATCGAAGGCAGCCTCGGAAAGATCTCTTTCAGCAACGCCAAGACGCCCAAGCCCCTCTTGAACATCAAGCGCACAGAAAGCAATAGCGACGCGATTCGTCAGGGAACTCCTCACAAGGCCCATGCTGCTGGTGCTGGCTACAACAAGAAGGCTGTGCTTACGGATGTAGAAAAGGTATATGACACACTGATGAAGCTGGAGGACCATGAGCGCCTGATGCCACCTCCGGTGTTGGACGAGAACAACCAGGATCTCATCCAACAACACGTTGTGTGGCACGAGACGAGCCAGAAGCTCACCCAAAAGCTCTGGCGTGAACTCAAGATTCACGAGCCGGTACCCGCTGGCGCTTCCATTCACCCGTTCATCGCAATGCTCGAGACAGCCAAGGGCAAGAAGGCCCTTGCTCGCGTTTTCCGACACGTGAATCATGAGCAGCGCACGACAATCCTTACCTTGATCATTGTGAACTTGGACAAGTTCGATGTCGTTCGCCGCGGCTCAGTGACTGATGGACACGTTAATCTGGATGCCAAGCTTCGGGAAGACATTGAGCTCTTTAGTGTTGCTGTTTGCAACACGTTATTTGTCTTTTTGGGAGAGCTTGGCCTGGACATCATTACCGGCATATTGGGCGTGTTTTGCTCAGAAGTCAATGTGGATCTCGTGGCGAGAACTCGCGTCGGAGTTAGTTTCCTGACCATGATTCTCAGTCGCGCCGAAATTATGATACAAGCGGCCGGTGGCAGAGACGCTATTAGCGGTCAAGATGGCGGCGCATGGTTTGTACCCAACCAATTTCTGGCTCTTTCGAAATGTATTCTGCTGACACTCTGATGCTTAGGGAACGCCACTATTCCAACTTTTTCAACCAGCTTGAGCCTACGCTACCACACATCTTCCCTGGCACACCCGCCTCCGGTGAGGACGGCTACGTCTGGCAGCTTTTGGCAGCCCTCGGTATCGGTGCCAATGCCGAGCAGCAGCAACGTCTTGTCGTTGCTGTCAAGGACCGCGTGCTCGGCACTGTCGAAGTCGCCAAGACTCTGCCGCAGGACCTCGCTGTCCAACGTCTTGCCAATGTCAACCTGTTCATGCAGGCCATTGGTCTAGATGTTTCCCTTTTGGGATAATATGTGCCAGAATTTTGAGGATAAACAATGGAAAGACGTTGGATGGTGTTTTTAAGCGAGGCTAATGGAAATATTTATCATATTGCTATTCCTGAAAAGATGGATGAGGGAGGAAAATGCCATAAGAGTGTCCTTTTCTTCAAATCGCAGACGACAGAGCTGGTCAAGTTGACATTCGCTGGTTTGAAATATCGATTACAACAGCGAACGTCGATGAAAGGCCAGTGCATGAGCGTCACTATATTCTACGTGGATATGTACAACAACACAACGGCGCAGATGTACGTACGACATTGTGCGCAGCTGTTTGCCTGTCGGACTGCGGGTTGGTGCGGGTTGGTGTGGTGTATGCCGACAAAGTCAGGAACCAGTAACGGCCGGCGACGAGTGCATGGTCTCGGTTACGGATAAAGCGAGAAGAGAGACTCGTCTTGCGGGCGAGGAAGTTGGAAATGAAAGTCATGTAGACAATGCAGAGAGAGAAAAGAAAGAGACACATATGCATCCCGCATTTTACATAGAAAAGGAACGGTCTAGCTGGATTCCGCCGTGGTTAAAACGTGCGATGAGAGGTGATTGATATCCACTGAATCGAGAAGTCTATTTGTTTTGCTGCCATTAGTTGAATCTTTCACTTACTTGGTCGTATCTTTGCTTCTTGTCTTTTGTATGTTGTCATTTATTGATGGGTATCTGTCTGTATCTGACCTTTTCTTTTCATTTTCCGTTTTCCAATTCTATCCCTGGCCCAGTCTCAGCTGGTTTGCTTGTCTGGCCGGCCATTTAACGCCGTTCCCTTTATGCCCGTAGATGCCTCCCAATGCATGTTGTTTGGTTGCACATCATGAATTTTGCTTGTGTTTGTATTCCTGCCCTTTGATCCGGCTTCAAAAGCTTTCTTGGACAAAATTTCGAATCATCCTAAAAGCAAGCAACGCCGGCTCCAAATAATCAGCAAACACTCAGCCACGTACTCAACGCCTTTTTTCAAATCAAGTAAAAACAAAATCATCAAAATCAAGCCACTTCGTGACACAATACAGCACAACTCAAGCCCGGTTCAAGGCAGGCCACAAGATCCGTCAACAAAGTCATTGTCCGGTACTCGTTGAAGCTCGTGCGTCGTTACTGTTGGCGGCGGCAGTGGTGGCTATAGTTATGGTTGTAGTAGTGGGGGTCTTCTTACCCCTTCTTGCTGCTGGTGCTGTCGCCCTCGCCGGCGCTTTGCCCGTGCTGCCTCTTGCCTTGGTAGCTGCCGACACTGTAGTCGCAGCAGACGGCTCGTCGTCTGAGATCTCCATCTTGACCGCCGCAGGCTTGGCTTTAACGATACCGCTCGTCTTCTCCAGCATGCCATCCTCGTCCATGCCCGTCCGCAGCGCAGCGACCTGTTCCGCAAGTTCCGCCAAGCCATGTGTGTTGCTCGTTGGAGCGTCTCCATCAGCAGTAGCACCGTCGACCTGCTTGCCCGCCGCAGCAGAGGCAGAGGCACGCAAGTACAGCGCCTCCTCGCTGACAGCCCAACTGTCCATGGCCTCGTCGTGCACATAGCGCATGCGCCGCCAGGGCTCCGTCTGCACGCGCTTGAGCCGGTCTGCCATGGTTTCTTGCACGAGCTCCTCGCCGCCGTCCTTGGTCT